GGTGGGTCCGGCCCGCCAGTCTTGGGGGGTGCGGGGCCCTGCTGCTGAGCTGCCAGCCCCCCTGCACCCCCTGGCCCGGCCCCAGGGCCGTAGGGCAGCAGGTCGGGGCCGTTGGCATGCCGGCCCCCATACTGGTCCATGGAGTTGAGGGCAGCGCACATGCGGCTGATCTCACGCGCTGTGGTGGCACTATAGTGAGCCAGGCTGGACTCCTGGAAGCTGGCCAGGTCCCCCCGGGGTGAGAAGCGGTAGTCAGAGTAGATGTTGGAGGCTGAGCTGTACCTCCGCATGGGGAGTGGGTGGCCCAGAAGCTCCGCCGGCTGGCGGAGGTCGGAGAAAGAGCCATACTGCAGCCCCTGGCCCAGGTAGCCCCCCTCGGCAAAGCCGACGCTGTAGGAGTGCTTCATGGTGCTGAGGTCCACAGCAGCATCACCCGCTGGGGAGGGAAACGGCTGATCCCCCTTTGTGGGGTAGTAGCTCATCCCGATTTCAGAGAGGTTTGTGTCCGACATGGAGGAGTAGAGGCGGCCAAAGGCACCGGCAGGGTAAAACTTCTGCTCCTCATAGAGCGCAGGCGCTGGGGCTGGCTGCTCCCGGTAGGGGAAGGTCTCCGGTAGCTCTGGCTCTCTGCTGCCATAGAGGGGCCCACTGGCTTTCCGGCCAGGTGCCGCTGCCTCTCCAGATTTCTTCTCTGACATCTTGGAGGTGGGGTTGAAAGCACCGGTGCAGCTGCCACTGAAGGGGAACTTGTAGACCACGTCGCAGCAGGCCACCTGGCTCTCTGGCTTCACGCCCGTGAGGTCCAGCACTTTGGCCGGTGGCTCCTCCTTCAGCACTTTGGTCACTGGGCTGGCTGCTGCCTCCTCCATCTGCACCATCATCACCTGGGACTTCTTGCCTCCCAGGGCGAGGAATGTGCTCTGGCTCTTCAGCTCCACCGGCACCGCCCGGTACAGCTCCGAGCCTGGCTCTGGCGGGAAGGGCTGTGGGAGGCTGACGATGGTCTGTGCCCCGCCGGTCTGTGTGATGAGCACATCCTTCTTCACCATCTGGCCTGGAATGCTGTACCTCGCAAACTTGGTCTGGGGGCCACCAGTGGGCTCGGGCTTGCCACCAGCCTCTCCGCTGGCTCTGACGGTGGCTGTCTGGACACCCTGTTCCACCTGTTTCACCTGCGCCAAGCACACCGGGCTCCCGGTCCCCTGCCCAAAGTCCACCCGGCTCTGGAAAGGGTCTCCATAGACCACAGGCTGCTTGGGCTGTGAAAGGAGCATGGGGGAGGCGATGGCCAGGCTGGCGGTGCTGGCTGCCGCGATGATGGCGTGGGGCTGCTCCTGGGCATTGAGGTTGATGATCAAGGGCTGGATGGCCGTGGACTGTCGGCCTGGGATGTGGTCCAAGGTCAGGCAGTACTTCCTGGCCTCGGTGGCCAAGGAGGTGAGATCCATGCCTTGGTCTGTTATAATGATGGGGGCAGACTTCAGCGCGGTCCGTAAGTCTATGGCATTAGTGCTTGGCACCTTGGGCCCTGGCTCCACCCGGGACGTGCCAGGAATGGAGGAGATGCGGCACAGGGAGATGTTTTCCGTGGGGAGCGCTCCCCAGCCGTACAGTCCGGTGATGCCGTCGGTGGCTGAAGTCACGGCAGGTGCCTTCTGAGCGTGATCCTTCACCGGCTGTGCCCTGCTGCAGGCACCCAGCGGCTGCTCTGGCTCCGGCACCTG